TTTGAGTTGTTTTCCTTCAGGTTCTGCAGCAGCCTGTTAATCACTCACTCATTAAAATCAGGTGTGTGAAAGCAGAGAAACATCTAAAACATGCAGGACAGTGGCCCTGGAGGACCAGGATTGGGCACCGCTGGTCAAAAAGGACCTTCCTGTTGCATACAGGAAAACTGAACACAGATGCTTAACTAGAAAATGTAATAAATTCTCAAAAATGTCTATGAAAAATGGTAAAAAAAAAATCCATGAAATCATGGTGTCAGAATACAGTATGAGTCAAAGGTGAAAATTACATATCTGAATACCCCAGCAAGGAGAGGAGGCCTATTTAGGTTATGTCCAGAATATGGCTGCCATTTCAAAAGCTGCCACATTGGATCAAAATAAAAGTCCTTTAACTTTTGACTCACCCTATAATGAGCAGACTGAACACAAAATGCAGGCTCTGAGGCAGGAAGCAGAAATCAAAAGTAAACAAATTTCCCAAGAAAACATCTAGGTACCAAAAAGCAAAACAATCATTAAACAACAACAAGGAACATACAACTATCAAGCAAAACTGTTAACTGTTAACTGTAATAAAGGTTAGAAACTAAGCCAGATGTGCAGGAGGGGACGGTGAAAAGACGGTGAATGGGGGGGACGCAGTGTGAGCAGCTGAGGGTAAAAATAGGTGAGAACAGAGAAACAACAGCCTGAACTCTGAAAATGATAAACACATAAATAACTGACAGCGACTCCAAATAACTTAAACATAAAGAAACAGATTACTTTGTATAAAGTACCTCAAAGTTATACTTGAGTAAAAGTACAAGTATCTTACAATACAATTATTTTGGTAAAATGTAAAGTCTTCTCTAAGAATATTACTTGAGTAAAAGTCAAATTATCTGACATTTACTGTACTTGATTATTTAAAGGAAATTTCTGGTATAAAATAGACTTAAATATTAGAAGTAAAGTAAAACGTGAGAGAGTAGAATGTCAAAAATTGTATTTATTGGAAGGTGACCTCCAAATTATTTTCTCTAAACACCATAATGATTATAATATTATATTAAAAAGTTAATGTTGAAAAATTTGGCATGCACTAGACGTCCTGTCTGCCACAGTCATCTTCATATGAGGTTACATACAGTATGTCTGTTATGTCCTGCTGGAGTCTGACACGATCTGTTATACAGGTGTGATGGGTCATAAAAACCAATAGGGTGTCAGGATCAAACCACAATTAAATTCACTCTATCCAGGAGGCGCAATGTATCTGGATATGTTTGTATTTTAAYGATAACCTGCCTAAATGAAATAGAAGCAATGACTTTCTACGTCTTACATCTTTTAAAAATGTAAAAATTAAAAAGTACAGACAATTGTGTGAAAAATAATTCCTCAAGTAAAGTATGGATTACTGAAATTTCTACTTGAGAAGAGTAACAAAATATTTGTACTTTGTTACTTTACACCTCTGCATTTTGCAAGGGAGGCTTGAAGGCAACCTAACCTGTATTTTTGTATTTTAGTTGTTTTACTGTAGGAGGAAACTGGAGAACCTGGAGAAAGCCCACGCAAGCATGAGGAGAACATATAAACTGCACATAGAAAGACCCCGGGTCTGAACCCAAGGCCTGCTGCTAAATATAAGGAGTGTTAAAAAAATGTATGTGCAATAAACAGGAAAAGTCATCCAAAAAAAAAAACATATGACACTGTCATTAAGCACCACGTTTAAATAAAACTCCAATTTATAGTCTTAATGTTTCAGTGTTTCATACACAGCTAGGAAAGGAATCTGCTTTGAACAGTTGCTATCTGTTAATCTGTTAGTTAGAACCACATGATTCTMTCCACAGATTTTACCAGCAGCAACTGTGACAGCAGCAAACATCTCAGCTTTGGCCTTTAAGCTCGCAGGGACCATGAACTTCCCTCTATAACCACACACTGCACTCTGTCTGCTCTTAAAGCCACTTATTTTTCCCCTGATTTCTATTTTCTCCAAGTGAACAAGACCTTCCTCCTCTTCCTCCCCTGCCTCTCCTGCAATTTATTCAAGCTGCTCCGCTAGATGCTGTCAAGGACCGCTTCCCCTCTTGAAACTGTAATTTTCACAAAGTAATAGCTGTTTTTAACGCACTTCTTATAACTTCCAGACTAATAGCTGCTTAAAGAAATAAAGAGGATCAAGTAATTGAAGGTAACTGCAAGGTACAGTGTTTCTGAGCTCCACCTCCAACCAATTTGACATATAACCTTGTCTAGAACTAAGATTTCTAAATTGCTCTTATGGATCGCATTAAATATAAAGTAAATGTAAATATACCTGATTCATTTTTTAAGTCTAATTACGTAGGCACAAACTGCAAACATATTTTTAGATACTAATATTTCTGCCCCTGATACATTTATTAGCATATTAAGGAAGTTTTGTTAATCATCACTTCCAA